AGTTTTGCTAAATGATGAGAACTGACAGCAGATGAACAACACCAAGGTTATACCAATCCAGGGTGAGAAAAAGGATGTAAGAGGTAGTACGAGGGGAAGGGATACTTCTGATGTGAGAATACAGTATTCTGTCTTCATCTTGATACAATTTCAACATCCACAAGTTGCTTCTTAAATTCTCATGTGCAAAGCTATTATGATTATTGTAAATCATGTGAGTGATTACTTCATTTATATAATTCTTTCTGTTTCTTGATGTTGTTTGATATTTTGCCAGCTAAGTTATGTGTCACGATACTATATTTGTTCCAATAAAGTTAAGAGATGTTGTTGCAATTTTTTATGTGTCTAAACTTCTCTCCTTTATGTACCCCCATTTCCTGACCTCCCTCTTCTGTCCAACCACAATGTATAATCCACACAAGTATATATGGAAATATTGAAGTACTTTTGAGCCCAACAAAGCTTTCAGGAATTGCTTTTTCCTGGAATGCTAATTTCAAACACTCTATAGATGATCCAAACTACTTGACATAGAAATAGTTAATTCTTGCAAAAAATGACTTAAAGTGAATATTGATTATTCAATCTAATTATCAGTACGGATTATTCAATACAATTATCAGTACAGCATGAAGAACACAGAAATCAAAATAGTGATCACTTATTTGCGCTCAAAATTAGAACGACCTAGTTTAGTAGGCATAGCAGGTGACTGTTTGTTCCATATCTTCTAATCATGTCATAATAAAATTATTTATTAATATAGAAGACAATTGACAATCAAATAATAAAAAAACATGTATAAAAATAATATACCCTTTTAATAGTGTCTTCCATAAATGTTAAGTGTTACATATTTTTGATGTTTTTATAACAAAAACAAAATCTGCTAAATCAATTTGGGAATGTAACACATTCATTTATATTAATGCTCTCAGATGCAAGTACAGTCTCAAAAAAGAATCTAAAGCTAAATGCAAGTAATTGGCTTTCTCTGAGGGAGCCCCTTTTTCGCATGACCAACGTATGTAGTTCAGAATCAATTGGTTTGCAACCTACTAAGGGCTACCTGTTGATTATCACTGCATACATTTGACGACAGTATAAATAAACTCTTTTCACATGTTTTGGAATGTGAAATCAACTGTCATAACAAGTAGCACAATTTCCTACATGATTCGATGAAGAGATAATAATTCTTCCTCAAGTCACTTCCTGCAAAAATATCTATCTAACATTTATGATAGATGATTTAATTTTTTATCATATCTAATCTAGATTCTAGAACCTGTTTTGATTTTCACTAAATGAATCTATTCCGTAAATGCTGATAAGCTTTTTGTACAGTTGCTTGAATAGGTCAAGAATGAACTTTAGGCCTGTTGAAAACAGCTTAAATTCCAGTAGTATAAAAAATTGTGTTCTATTAGTAAATGTTGGTAGAAAAACATGCAGACATTCAGTGGTGGGTTTGTCAAGTCCTTGGACCCCCTCCCCCTATGAATCTGCCACTATACTTTGAAAAAACCACCACAGATTAAATCTTGCTCTCCAAGGATAGAGGGGCCTGGAGAGATATATAATATATATATAATATATATATATATAATATATATATATATATTAGAGGTATATAAAACATTGGTTTTCTGTGTGTTCTCAAATTAAACACCAGTTCTAAAATTAAAGTAATCACATATATTGAAGCCAAATGGCCAAAATAATTTTCTTAATAAAATTTGTTACCTGTCCATTAAAATCAAGTCTTGTTAAATATTTACACAAAAAGTATATTGGACAGAAAGCAATTGCAGGCAGGTGATGTGTAGTTCGCTTTAACAAAACCACCTTGAATGCAGTGAAAAAAGCGATGGGAAATGGAGCTTATGATGTCACTGTTAGGATTAATAAAAGTAATTGTTAAATCTAAAATATATTGCCATCCCACCTCTTCCACCAATTGTGACAACAGGAACGTAACAAGAAAAATACAAGTCTAGAAATTTACCAAGAACATTGTACAGGAAGTGTTTCCAGGTTTGTAACTAAACCATGGTAGGTGTGAAGGACAGGAGCGATGGGAAATAAACTTAACAGCATTGTTTAACTTGAAAATATCAGCAATAAAAGCGATTAAATCAATTTATACATAAAAATTAATGTATTAATCATGGAATAGTGAAACACCTCCATCAGCAATTTACAAAGACAATTAATATATTTATTTTCAAGTATTTTTCTTCATTGGGATTCGAGCCCAAGATTCCCGAGATTAGCATTCGGTTACATTTACCAACTCAGCAGGGGTCCAAAGTTAGAAGAAGTTACTTCCGGGAGATTTGGTTAAAAAATGAAGTTTTTTTTTCAACACATCTAACTTTATTCTGCTGTGCATTGTGATACCATTCGCACTGTTTTCTGTGAGACAATTGATAATAAAGTAGTTAAAACATGCAAATATTATGAATTTGCAGAAGGTTGGTTACTTTTCGGGAGATTCTTGCTTGCTTCCTTGCAGGAGTGCGAGAGACTTCCGATTTCCAGAAGACTCCCCCAACTTGAAGGAGACTTGGGACCATGAACTGAATTAAGATGCCAAGTAGGTATAACATCTTTGGATTTTTCCTTTAATAGATATGTAACAAAGATCTTATAAACACAAGATAGCGATTCTACGCGTAATAAATAAAAGTGTCGATGTTCAATAAACAAAAAAAAAGTAATCACTTTTGAGAGAGGGCATCCTAGTTGTTACCATGGCTGTTAAAGAATTTGCACGCAGATGCGCTATCTTTAGTTAACTATGTCTGATGTCAAAGTTGAAAATAATCACTTCTGCAAGCGCGCATCGTACACTGCGTTATTACAGAATTTGCATACAAAAATATGTAATGATAAATTTAAATCACGTGATATTAATATATTATGACAAAAAAACTACAATCCGTCATACAGATTTTGGTGGAAATAAGTTTTGGTAACATTTGGTTGGAGAATCAAGACCCTCCAATTATCGTTTAGTAGTAGCGGTAGTATCTGTTCAAGCTACTTATCATGTATGTCAGGCAGGATATCACACTACAGAGATTTCAGTGTGAAATTATGGGGGAACCCCCTAAACTTTCCATGTCTTATATAATTAATCAGAACATTTAAAACACAAACATTTGTACACAAAATGTACTATTTAGGTTTAAAATGACATAGGTTTAATTGGAAAAACCTGAAAATTTGTGTTCTTAAAAGGATCACAGATAAAAACAATTTCAGTTTTTGCTTTATTTTTACAGACCTTTGCTACCAAAATCCTTAAATTAATTATTAGCCAATTTTTATGGTCCATGTTATTGAAATGGTACACTATTCTATTGAATTAAAGCTAATAATGTACTTCATATATAAAGCATGCAGTTCGGATATTGAATTTTATTGTTCAATGATTTTCAGCATAATGGTTAAGATGCCTGCCTTCCAATCCCACAGTTCTAGGTTCAAATCTTATAAGAATCCACACTCCCTAAACCACATATTGAAACCAAAGCCCTGTCCAGACTATCAAATTTTATTTGAAAAACAACATGGCATGCCCAAATATGGTCATGACATCACATCATGAATATATATAGGTACACCATGATTATATTATATGAACAATGAATAATTCTTTGTCAATAAAAAATTGATAGTGTGTATATTTAAGAGGACTGATATTATGCTAGAAGGGTCATCCTTTATAAATATGATAGTAAAAATGGAAATACTAAATATATTCACAGACAAGGTAAACAACTCAAAATATCAGAGTTACATAGGAAGGGAAACTTCCAATGAATTCCTGTCAAATACATAAACCATATGTATACTTATACATAGTAAACATCTTTAACAAAAATAGGAAGTACTTGAAGGAATGTGATCAGTATTAGTGTAGCTTTAGTTTTGATCTTGGTGTCTTATTTCCCCTAACATCACACAAACTACATCCGTCATTCGTTTGGTATTGGAGTTCCCCCGCTAACGTCACAACACATGACATCACATACTGCACGTAACTGTTCATACCTTCATCTGAAAACAACACTTACAAACTGGTATAATTTGTACAACTTGAAATATAAAAGGTAAAAGCAGATTTAATTTATCTGGAATCAAATAATCTGGTTTATAAACTTTTCAATATCACTTCAGGGAATAGGTATTTGTTAATATGCAACTAATTTTTCTGGTAATTGTCAAAAAAATATTTCCTTGCACCTGAAAATCAATTGATGCTAATCATTTAATTTACTTTATGCAATTCTATGCAAATATAAATTATCGGAATGCATAATAAACAAACAAGAAATACAAATTTTCAACCAAATTATATCATTAAAAAGTATTTAACTGAGCTTCAAAACACCTGTTGATTCCTATTTAATTTTGGCCTTGCAGTCAAGAATAAAATGATTACATCTTTATAGTATCTGCAGTTAGTTTCAATTTATATCAATTAATTTCTATATATTTTATAAATTCGTGAACATTACGGTGCTAAATATTCTGTTTCAAGAATGTATCGAGTAGGTGGCGCTATCTATCATAGCAGTAAACTACAGTGCAGTATTAATTGAAAAAAAAAAAACCCTTAGGAAAATACCGCATCTTTATTACAGTTGAGGGAATGTGAGACTCCTCCCAAGAGACACAGTAATGAGATTAGTTTGTGGTAGTGTTTGTTTAACAGATGTTAGGATTTCTACCCATCAATTTCCAACATGTGAAATCCGATACAGTTAATTTATGTCGTCATAGCATTGTTGACGGGTTACTTCACATATCATAATTCCTGCATGAGTGACATCATACCAAAGACTTCCTAAAAAACTTCTAACAATTGTACTTACACCCCCTGAACAGCTAAATATTGGCTATTATACACTGACCTGCTCAAAAAATGGAACACCTAGCAACCGGGCTGAGCTGTCTATAAAAAAGTTTTTACCAGGGAAGTCAAACCATGTGCTTAATCGTCGCAGTAACTAGTGGTTCATCATCAGCCAAACTTCAACAGAGATACCATCTCACTGTCATAACTGTAAACAGAGCCTTCAACTGCGAGAAACTCTTATCATTCAAAGCATTCCACATCTTCTAAGGTGTTCAGAACTTTTTTCTCAAGTCATGAAGCCATTTCAAGCAGCTCAAATTTTAACGTTATCAGTGATTTTGTCGAGCATTACATCTTCGGTATTTGCGTGCTGGTGTCCACTAAAGCATCCTCAATACCACTACTGTACATCAGATTATGGTAAGAGGTTTTGTTTAATTTTGTTTAACTTATTTACTTTAAAATCAAATTAAATTCATATTTAAGCCTAATCTTATTACATTTTATTATATAATTTTATTACTCTTATTTCCTTGAATGCATTAAACTAAATTTAGCAATTTCATACATATTTACTGACTAGTGAGTCAAACAATTATATCTATAAAGTCACAATTTCTGTCTAGAGGAATGTAAAATTAGCATCAAAATGAATATCCAAGGTTATTTATCACATTAATATATTAATTATCATGCTTTTAAAGAATTTGAAATATACATACATACATTTTGTTTAGATATCTCTACCACTCCTTTAGCGTGATCTTCCTGGATAGTACTTTAGTGTACATCAGGAAGATCATGCTGATAAAGGATAAAGGAGTGGTAGAAATAGTACTTCAGTCCATAGTTCTATATTACCACTTTTTAAAAACATAGTGTACCTGAAATTAAATTATTTTAATGTTTATTCGCCATGCAACATTCACGAAATATAGAAATATCCTTCCTAATACCACTTCCCTTTACAAAATTACAATAATAACATTTTATTTTCAGCATGTATTGAAATAATCATAATATATTTTCTGCACAGCAGAATCCTTATTTTGCCTAATTTAACCTCGATTCAACAAAAACCTCACCTAAAAGTAGCCTACTTTAGCTTTCTAAAAATTGGTGACTGCCTGAAAATTCTAACATCAATAATTTACATGATTCATAAAAAAAAAATTAAAATTACTGTTAAAAAATATGAGTTTTTAATATAATTAGTGAGGCATGTTTCACAATCTTACAGTGCCATTTTCATAATTAGCAGGGTTGTTTGAGGAAGTATGACTTAACATGTCAAAATTAGATTCATAGGAAATCCTATAAATATTATAAATATATAAACTATAGTAAGGTAGTTGTGGTGCTCAGCTTGTAATCTCAATGGTATTGGTTCAATTCTTGCAGATTTAATGTATTTAAAAGAATATTTGTCAAAATTACATTCAGAATAATAATTTTTTTTAAATCAATTGTATAATATATAATCATGATTATTACACTAGTTTCAGAGTGCAGATTTAATAATATACCTTATTTATTTGAATATATACGCCATTAGGCATTTATTGTTGGGAAGGGTTTTTTAGGGCATTTATTCATGGGAGGTGTATATTTGAGGAAGGTGTTTATTTATTTTTTATTTTTTTGGTGTGAATGGAAACTAATATACTCAAATAAACGCCCCTTAATTTCACTGTAAATGTGAAACTACTACACATAATTACCGTTAAATTTGTTACTGCGTGATACAGACTTATTGATCACAACCAGGTTAGAAAAAAATGTAATTCTACAGGAGTAGAACATTTAATAGAATATGTTGAAAATGGTGTTGCTTCCATTAGATTTGTTTAGTCATTTTAGAAGGGCGTTTATTTGAGAAAACATAAACGCCTTGAGGTTTATTCGTGGGAGGTTTTTATTCCAGATGAGGCTCTAGAGGGGTGTTTATTAGCGGGGGAGGAGCTGTTTATATAAAGCAGGGTATATATTCAAATAAATACAGTACTGATTTATCTCACAGTGGCATTAAAAAAATGGAGTACTGGTAAGCAACACTGAACATATTAATCATACTTAATTTCATCAAAGTTTTATATATTCTAAGATCTTAATTACCAATTATTCTTACTGTCTGTATAGGTAATTAATATTAACAATCAAGTTCAACATTTTAATTGTTTGCATTGCACATTTAATCAGGTTATTTGCTTTCAGTTGAAAAATAGGAAAAACAACTTTTCATTGCCAATTAACAGACAATACTGCTTTACATACAGATCCTCAAAATGTTTGGCAGAAAATTTAACAAATTCAGTAAATCAGTAGAAATCCAAGTGTTTTGATCCGTGCCTCGTTGGAAGTTAACAAACTGTTAAATCGTTTGAAATGAATAACTAGACATAATTTAATATTTTGTGGGGCTTTTTCAATTTTTTTTCATTGTCAATATATCTTTAAAACATTAAACATACAGGGACATCTCTACTATATAGTTCAGTTATTCTTTATTTTTAAATTTATTTCTGTCTTGAAAGAAATAGAATTTCAGTGAAGGCCCATGTTATAAAATATTTTTTCTATTGCTTTATACTTTTAAGTTCACAATTGTAATTTCCTATTTCTTTGAATACACCAACAAATATTTATCAATTAAAACTAATTTTATTTATTTATTTTTTTTTTTTTATTTCCTTCACATCCAACAGCTTTATAAAGTCTTTTTATGAGGCTTAGGGAGTGGAGTTGATTTTAGTCGTGAGAAAAAGTCCTGCTGTGACAGGAATTGAACCCAGGACCCTGGGATCAGAAGGCAAGCATCTTAACCACCAAGCTATTCAACTCCACTTTATATATTTACTTATGAATTTACTTTGCATCTTCAAAACATTTTTCTCTCCATTAATACATAGAATGTTGCAAATATTTTATGAAATAATACTCAAGACTATAATAATTAATTAAAAATATTACCAATAACAAAAACAATAAAAATAGCAAAAAACTACAGTAATAGTAATGATAATAGCTTGGAAGTATTGATAATGATGATGATAATAAAATAATTTTCACCTCGACATAACACATATGCTGGAGGCATGCACATAACTGGTGATGTATATTGCACTTATTTTGACAAATATGATTGTAGAAAAGAAATGTGACTACAAGACGAAAAACACTGTACTTGATTTTTGAATAGTCACAGTGATAAAACAGCTGCGAGGTGCCGGGAATATACAAATGAATTTGCACTGACAGCATCGTCAGTGGCTATATTGCAGCCTGTAGTTGTAGCGAGGCCTCTCTGCTGGATTTTCGGGACGACTATATGTCTATTGCAACGGATTAATTGCAGGAAATCTGTTAAGCAATTGTGAAGTTTTTATTTCTGCTTGCTTCATATTTTTCACATGGTGATATGTTAAATAAATGGAGAATTGTTTGAAGACATAGGGCCTATATGTACTTTGCCTATATCACCTAGCCCCCTATCCCACCTCCCCCACCCCCCATCACTAGAATATAAGGGATGTTTTCAATTGCAATGAAATATCACCTTACTCTCTCCTGTTGAAATTAATTTTTTATTACTATTATGATCTTTTCTTATACCAATTATCATCCTGCTCCATTTAATATCTATTTATAGAAACAATTTTCAGTGGTTATTTTTTTGGTCACTACTTCCTTTCAGTATGTGATTTCCATTAATAACAATATCCTGAAATAAGATATCAAACAAAAGCCAACAAATATTATTTGCAAGTTTTTTTTATTTCATTGATGACACTTATATATGGCCATAAAAGGTATGCTCAGATTCATGTTTTTTAGCCATTTTAAAATGTGTTAAGATATTCTCATGATGATGCTAAGTACCATTAGTTTTTGTCTCATTATTTTTTTCATTCCAATTTACAAGATAATGAACTATTATGCAGCCCCAATAAAAAAAAAAGATTAGTTTATCATCCCCACCTCATCTTCTATGGTATTGGGAAAAAACTATTTAAAAGGGGATGGGGAGAGTTTTGGAAAAAAAAAATTCATTAAAATTTTTTTTTTAAATAGATAGTAGATATTGTATTATCTAATTCGTATATTTTACTTTGCATATAAATATACCAGCAAACAACCCAAGGTTGATATTTGTCAATAAGAAAATATATATATAAAAAATAAGAAGTTTTCCTTCCTGATTACTCTTCCAACCTAGATTGGATGATAACTAATACATTTTTTTATTGGACCCTACTAGAATCTCAAGATTCATATACAGTAAATTTTCAGTATGGTTATACTATCAGATAAACTCTCCATGATAAATGTTCTATTATTTATTTAGAGGTGTTCTTATATTAACATTTATATTATGTTTATATAAAATAATAATTAAATCTTTTTTCCATGGAGAGAATTGATTGGAAATATTGTTCTAATACAAACAGTATATGTTAAATCAATTGTGCTATTTTAAACTTTGCAGTGTTTCGAGCTGTAATCACTGAATTCGAAGAGGTGCCAAAGTCAATATTAGAGGAACCGATAGCACCAGCACCAAAAGTTCTGAAACCAACAACGCAACCAACAACGAATCCAATAACAAATCCTACAATGAGCCCAACAATGAATCTAACAGCGAATCCAACAACAAATTCAACAACAGATATAACGACAAATTCAACAAGGGTGAATACAACAAAAGAAACAGAAATCGTGTCAACATTGGCGGAAACAGAGCGAATCAATTCTACATTACAAACAGCGTCTACACCCAGAGAAAACTCATCAACAATTTTGGACATCACGTCAAGAGACACGGTTAGGGAGAGTGCAGCCTCATCAGCAACAGATTTAACTGATTCATTGAGTTCATCATCTGAAGAACCAGTAATTGGTATGAAAATTCAGTTTGAAAAGCATCCAAAGATAGCACCGATCCAACAGATAATGCTTGATGCGAGGTCAGCTTCACAAGTGGTGTTTGAATCCTACACAAGCAGCTCTGAATTTCTTAACTACCCGGAAGACTATTTAATTCGGTATCGCATGAAGGTAACAAAAGTGTTCAAAGGTGCGATAGATATTGGTCACACAGAGATTTTCACGTTGGCAGATAGGAACCAATGTGGGATGAAGCATTTGAAAAACCATACATCATATCTTTTCACAGGTAAACTATTAACTCTGCCAGTTTTTGTACAGGGGTATATCAACATTTAATTTATTTTTAATTTTATAACTTAATTTTGAAATATCAAAAAAAAAAATCAAACAAATCAAATCAACGCAATAAATTTATACATTGCATTGTCCAGCTTGTTGTTTCTACATTTTCTCCCATATATCTATGAATTATAGGATATATATACATTTTACCAAAATTGAATTATTTAAATTTATATTAACCCATGTGTATTAATATTAACAACTTGCAGGAAGTATATCAATATAATGTAAAATACAATTAAATATAACAGAAAAATATTTTGTTTATTGAAATTGTTGGTCTGGCTATCTATATCATTCATGAATTCATTCCTATTGAAACTGAAGTATTTAATTTAGTATAAGATAATAAATAAACAGAGGTAGTGATTTGGCCTCTCATCCTGGAGATTCAAGTCCAATTTTACAAAGAAGTAGACCTATGGGCACCTGGTATGGTTTTTCATCAATTACTAGGTGTAACAGAAATAAATATTCCCCCAGGAATATGAGTACATGTCCATAAATGTTTGTCCCAATGATGGGCTAATAGCGCCGAGATGGCCTTAGAAATATGCGGTATATTATATAGTATATGCTATATCATATACTATACTATATAGTCTAGTATCCTAAATAATTCATAAAGTAAATAGTATCTAGCAAGCAAGTACAATGCTAACTTAACATTGACCCTCATATAATATTAGCTTATTAAGATCCTACACCGTAAACCTTGAATAGAAGCCCTGGGATTCTGTCTTTAGGACCCTTGGATTTCTTTTCGATGATGGGACTTTTTTTCAAGATTACTTTTGCAAACTAAAAGAAAAGGAGTGGGGGGGGAGGGGTTTTTTTCAAAACAAACTGTAAATTTTGGAATTGCTACTATACAACAATTTTCAACTATGGAATTTGAAATTTTGTTTAATATTTGTTTTTCTTTTAACAATGGATAAAATACTATTGATACTGACATGCTACCATAATTCTCAAAAATCTGAATGTAAGAAGCCCATATTATTTTGATTGGAAGCCTATTGGCTTCTTTTCGAGATGCGCTTCACAAGATTAAGCCCAGGGGCTTCTATTTAAGGTTTTATAATATATAAACAGTACAGTCTCTCAATTTGAACATTGTCTGTATGATGAATACCAGAAGAGACTATTTCTTCAACTCTTGGGCTAACAGTGTTAAAATGTTAGTTTTCATGTGAAGTTACATACTTGTCATTTTTACTCTCTACAAAAAAAAACAACAGGGGTCCCAAGTCTCCAGGAAGCTCAGTCGGCTAATCTGGTGGTAGCCACTGTGTGTGTGCTGAACCGTGGAGATCTCTAGGTCCCCAGTTCAATTCCCATTGCTGCCTCTCCTTGTGTTTCAGCCAGAGGACTGAAATACAAGTTACAATAGCGCACTGTCTTTCGGATGAGACGTTTAAGCCGTTGGTCCCGTGTGAATTTATGGCCCATGTGCACGTTAAAGAACGCAGTACACTCTTCGGAAAAGAGTAGGGGATTGTCTCCCGGTGTACTGTCCAATCACCACCAGAAGGACCCCACTGGAAATAAGTCTTCTTCTAGACTTTCGT